TTTCAGTTTCACGATACCCTTAGAAAAAAAGGATGGGGTTTAACTTGCGAAAGTGCACATGGGTACGTTAGTTAGAATGGTAAGTCAATGCTGTACTGTATTCTTATAGATTAATTCCAATACTATTATTGAAATATTTACAAGTATTAAACTCTTTTATAACTACACTCTCTCCTAACGCTCCTCTTTGTGTCAATACTCTCGTCAGAGTTTTTTATTAAATACATCCGTCTGTCCATCAGTCTGGCCTGAAAAGGTTGTACGTAGAAGAAACGATCATAACGCGATAATATCACAACGGAATCCAGGCCGATAGTTGGCGATGTCTCTGAAGGTTTGAGAATAAAAGGTAGAATTATAATATGGAGAATTCGTACGGCCATAAATATTATAAAGGCTGGTTCATATGCTTTGCCTCATGGCCACTGACGACGCCCCATGAACCACCGCTCAGAATTATAAAGTACGCTATCTACAAGGTAAACAACAAACAAAGGAATTACGCTGCCTGGGATATGTTGCTCACACATATAAGATATATCTTCAATGGGTGTATATATCTTCAACACAAGATGGTACAGCTGAGCAACCGTTATAGTGTAAAGAATCATGACATTACAGTTGAAATTATTTGGGTCCTGATTGAGTTGAATTAAAATATAATATTTTTCTGATGCAGTATATTCAAATTATTCATTATGATCAGATTGCTGTAATTGTACGTTTGTTTTCCCTATTTTTCATTAAGAAACTCCGCGACTTCCCAAGAATTCCGTACGAATCGAAGAAGAGAGACCGGTTGCCTTTGCCATAGTCGCCTTGAGTCATAAGGGCAATTTCCAGAGAGGAAGAGAAGTGCCGAAGTGCGAGGCGGGGCGCTGGCGTGGTGCGGTTTGTTGCCGGGGCAGCCGGTTGTGGGGGAATTCCCCGGCAGGCCACGGACGCCCGTCGGACAGCCGGCTAGCCTGACGTCACCACCGCCGCGCCGCTCCAAACCACGCCACTCCGCTCCATGTGAAGGAGGCGGCCGGCAGGAGCTTTCTATTGCGTGGCGACAGGTGCACGGCGCCTGGGACTCGGGGAATCACTTCATCGCGTGCAGCGCTCACTAAGGAGGTTCAACTCATTAGAGCTCATTTCATTTTCAAATTTCATATACTTGTCAATGTAATTTACGCCCTGAAGCTTTTGGGTCTCGCCGTGAAAGCGTAAATACCATTTAAGAAAAAGAATAGCAATGTACTATATAGAATATAATGTATTTGTGTTGCTCCCCTTGTGTTGTATTGTTGTTTTTTATGTTAATGTGTGTTAATGTAATAATATTTGTTTTGTGTAAATTGTAGAACTTCTTAGAAATCTACCAGCGGGCGTCGAATCGATCTATTAAATATCGTCTCACATAAAGTGTACATTGTGTACGAATATAAGAAGCGTTTGTATTACTCGTTCACTTTACATTTACTGACGGAGCACTGATCTGTTTTCAAGACGTCACCGCCAACTGAATAAGAATCGCATGTAGATACTGATCGATTAGATTTTGCATAGATGGCGGTGAGCGGGATACAGGCGTGCGCATTGCAGGGTACGGCAGAGGAGACGCGGGTTAGGTCATAACTATTATGTCATAGATATGTGCAAAGAAGATATAAAAATATTTCCGTGCAATTTGTGAATAGAGTGTATTGTGGATGACAAAATGTATTGTACTGCTCTTTTCATACGTCTTTCAAATGGTTTTAATAAACCCTTTTCCTCGCGGTAGTAGTACATTACATTATTTATAATTAATTTACTGCCACAACACACTCTCTCATAGCAAAGTGGATTTGATTTTTCCGCAGACATCACAGAAATACCAAAAACAAAGCAAGCACTTTTTCCCGGTTTGTCTCAGCTAGCATCAGCATTGGTGTGATGCTGTTAGACATCGGCACTATTCGTGCATTCTCGGATATGTGTTCGGGCACTCACTTTCAAAACAATACTACTTCCTAATTCTGCCTTTTACAAATGTTCAAATAAAAGTTTAGTTTTTAAGGCTCTAGAACTCTTCGTTTAGGAGTTATTTAACGATATAGCTGACAGTGCTGCGGGTTGCATTTGACTTGAATATTTGAATTGTTTTTTTAATAAATCCGTCATATTTTTAAAGTCAAAGAGCAATTCGTTACGTCTCTGTGAAATTCTCTTTCTTTAGGGGCCTAATTCATAAAGATTGGTTGCGTACGAGAGCCGCAAAAGGTATTACACTACTGAAATAATACAGGAGACGATAAACTTAATTTAATTTACCGCTAAAAAGTAAATAGTGTGTGTTACGTATGGGAGAAATAATATAGAAGATGATATATTCTCAATAACGGCTTCCCTCGCGTAAAGTGAACAGCACCTCCGTGCACACCGAATATTGCATACACGTGTCAGTCCTGATTTATTGCTTAATAATGCCGGGTGCGTCAACTGCTAAGGTCATTCGTCCCGTAAGTGTTGTTCCGCGTGTTGTTATCGCGAGAGGTTGCTGTGATCTTCCCGCGCTGGATGGCGAGATCCCGCGCTGGCCCGAACGTTGTCTTTGTGGGGTTTTTTTTCCCAACCAGGCATCTTCCGCCAGCGGTGCACTGCCCCAGCTGGAACAAGCTCTAAGCACCCGACTGCTCCCCCGACATGTGTGGTAGTGTAGTGCATGTAAGTGTGTCTAGGTAAGGGATAAGGATAGGACGGATAGGTCGCGCGCGGTTCGTGGCTCGTTTGCACGGATACTGCTTCGGCATTCGCCTGGTGTTGATTAAAGGCATCGCGGAAAACTACCGATCTGAGCAGCCATCCTCTTAAATCCGCCTTCAGACACCTGTTGAACTCGATCCAGTTATCTAGCCTATATCGAAAATCCTCGGCAGTTGAACCCTAGAACCCTAGAACTCTCGAACCCTAGAACAAGATCAAAATTTTTTACAGACGCAAAATATTGGTCCGTACTTTGTCCATTTCGAACAGACTTTATCATTTGAAACAATTATATTGACTTTTTTCATAATTTTGTAATGATATTATAATTTTAAAAAATTGAGAAATATACAATCAAATCTTATGGAAATTAATTAGACTCCTTCAAAAACTTCGTTAGTAATATTTCGCAATTATATAGGAAAAATAAATATTTCTCTAACTTTTAATTTTTACCAATGGTGTTTAATTACTTTACATCATACCGAATTCAATGCATATTACTTACCGTAGTGTAGAACTTCTAAGTCCTTGACATCTGCTTATTTCTTATTTCTTCCGTCAAACGCGTTTAAAATTTGAGTTTTCAGTCAATACCTGTTTAGCTGTAAATTAATCCTGGCCATATTGTTCTGAATAGGTGCCATTTTGACGGAAGAATCTCATTGTCGCGTGTTACTACTACATTCACGAAGTAATAACTGGTTCAATACCTGTAATTGCTCCTAAACTGTCGTACTTGACTTACAACTAATTATTCGTTATTGCATCATTGAGCAGTTTAATCTATTCTATTAACCTGATTTCTAATTACTGGCTTAATTTTAATGTCAGTCTGTTGCACATTTGTTGCTATTTGAACCATGGTTTTCTAATATCGTGTCTGTGTCGAGAGAGCATTTACGGGCAAATGCAAAATTTATAGCCCCCGTTATCTGAAAATTGCAAACTCATAAAATTAATTTCATTACTTGCTCTGGAGTGCTCTGACCATTATTTCTCAGAATCATCGACAGCAGATATAACTAGCATCTGTCGAATTTTGCTCGCTAGTGAGAAAGAGTGACGGTTCAAATGAGAAGTTATAGTAGTATATGTGACAATGCATTTCCTGAGGAATCATTGATATTATTCCCACTCATCTTTCTTTCATCATTAAAAATTTAAAAATATATTTTAGATCAATTAGATTTACTTTAGAGACTTTCTGATTCAGCCATTGTAGTGTAGTTGCCCGAATCTATATGCTATTGAAAAGCAGTAATTTTGTATGTTAAATTAAACATTTTCAACATCATAATTATGTAGGGAATGTGTGTAGTAATTATATTCCTTTCCATGCTCTCTAAGAAAGGATTATGATGTACCAATGTGTAGTCCATCAGAGTATAAACAGTAACTCTACCAGAATCCCGGAAATACCAATAGTACATTGTCTGATTATGATGCTCGTATTTACCTCATTTCTTTTTTTTCATTCAAAGTATATGAAAATATGAAGAACGTTTTCTCCGAAGAAAAAAGCACCTGTCTTGACGCTTCTTTGAATAAATAATTTTAAAAAATAACTAGGGATTGTGATTGCATATTAGGGCAACGGATATAACGTAAATAAAAAGTAGTATATTATATTTTGAAACAATTATAATAACAGTAATTGAGATATTATATTAGTAGTAGATTGAACAATAGAACTTCTATTATAGTTTTAGAAGATAAGCAAGCTATCTAAGACAATAAAATATTCGGAAGTGTTATATTTTAAAAAATTAAATCTAACTATGAATTTTACCTTTAGTGTTTCAGAGAACAAAAGGTCTTTGAAATGTTGCCGCTACGATATAAAATTCTGTTTAAAATATTCATAAAATGAAAAGATGTTCATAAAATTGCTCAGAATTTCCGTTCCAAATAGTTCATCAATGTCCGTTTCTCTAAATCATGAGATGTTAGTGAATGTTAGTTCTTACGCTCATCTGTTCGTACCTACAAAGAAGGCTTTGCGATCTTAAGACGTCGAAATAATCAACGAGTGGGCAAATGATAACTAGTAGTTGTGCAGATAGACAGTAAGTACACTATAAAATCAAAGAGAATAAACGGAGTTAAGACAATTTTAAGAAACAGATATTTTAAAGATTTTGAAATTCATAAACGTGCATTATACGATGGAAATTAATATTATTTTTTAGTATGTGGAAGCTTTTTCAAACTACTATTGACACAGATTATAATCTGAAAGGGGTAGCTGAGATTAAATTCACAAAACTCTGGAAAAACTGTACAATTTATTTACATTTTAAATAATATTTGGATGCTTAATAATTAATTTCTACAATACTGATATTCTTCTCTACATTGTTGTTGGTTAATCATGGCAGACTTATGGAAATATGGTTGTAAATCATTGTACCTCCCACAGCAATTTCCTTTCCTTAATTTATGTTCCCATCAAATCACATATTGGAGCTTTTTAGATGCATATGCCACATAAATGCAGTCTCTAGTGTTTTGTTTTTGTTTCTTCAAAAAAGCCTCGTCCGTCACCTTTTGCTCCCGCAAGATAAGCTTTCTATGTCGCTCCTATTCTTACTTTCCTATAGTGATAACTGCAAGCAGTAAGCTTTATTTCAAAAACTTAACGAGCAAGTTTACGACATTCCACTTTTCTTCAATCTTTAAACCTGAAAATTTAACTTTGGTTGAAAATGCTTAGATCTCTTCAAAGTGAACGAACGAGCTGATGGAAACACAAAGATGCCAATATATGTAGTAAAATATAATACATATTTTACATTTCGGGTGTGAATATTATTATGATAGAACTCGGAAAAATCTTAAAAGCGTCTGCGAGTACTTTGATCACGTCTTCTTGGCTTCCGTGTCTGAAATGCCCATGATGGTGAGAGAAAATTATCATTCACTGACTCAAGCAAATTTTGCCAATAACTTAATTCTCAAATAATATCTACAAAGGTTCTAGATCATATTTATTATATTCGAGAAATCATTTTTCTTAATTCTGGTAGCTTCAAAAAGTTAATAAGAGAGTTCATATTTATTATATTCGAGAAATCATATTTCTTAATTCTGGTAGCTTCAAAGGGTTAATAAGAGATTTGTTAAGCAAACCAGAAGTATTGAAGTTTAGTACGATCGTCTGATTGCTTTATACACTAATTTTGTAGTGTACAATTTTTTTTTAATATCTTCAGATTATTTAATTCATGGATTCCTTCGAATCATAAAAACAATTACTGGAAAATTGAACTTATTCAAATTTCAAAATTAATTTATGAATGAGTAATTTGTTTGCTCGGATTTTTATATATTTAAATTTTAGATATATAAATAGTTGAGCAAATAAATGTCTCATTTATAAATGAATTTTGACAAGATTTCGTCAATCATACGTGTATGACTGGCGTAAAAATCAGAATTCAGGCGCTGTTTTACACATTCTATATAATAGTTAAGTAGCACAATTACGCTGAAAATACATTACTGCTCCCATTCTTTCTGCAGAGCTTCTGTTGCCGAGACTTAAAGAAGTAAAACACTCACGCCATGTTCTTGCGAAACAATGTAAGCATATTAATGTTGTACAGCTGATTTGTTTTTCAATCGAAGAATTGAAATAGTTTTATGGAAGTTCGACATTTAGGTATGAACCCTCCTCTTCGTCTACTACTTTCACCTATTCGCTGTTTTTATTAAGAGTCTCGCCGTGTTTCACAGTACAAATTGTTACAAAAAAGTTGGTCCCATGCCGTCCGAAGCAAGTCCTTGCTCCAGACAAGTGGCTTGCGCCCAGGGCTAGGGCCAAACGACGCTCTCGATCCAAGGCACGTAGTGGGAAACTCGCGAGTACACGGCCGGCGAGTTCGCCATGCCGCAGAACTTGCCGAAGGATGTGACGCCGATCAGCGAGTACATACAGTACGGCTCCTCCAGCACCGTCTGCAGCGGCCCGCCGGAGTCCCCCTGAAACGAAACGGACGCATGCAAGAACGGTTTGCAGGGGGCTGTCACAAATTCGTGTATGAATAATATGGCTTTACGTAGGGTGCCATAAAGTAATACTTTAAAAATACGGTCAACAGTGCTTCACGTTTTCCAATAATAAACTAGTGGCTAATCTAATGCACTACTTTTTCGTATTATTTGTAACGTTTACGAAATATAACTTGTAACTTCTATCCTACTAACACTTCAGTCATTATTTGAAGTGTTTTTAAACAACCACAACCCAAAAAAGGTTTTCAAGAGAGCGGAAAACGTTCCATGACGAAATTGATAGACATTTGAAGCATGCAAATTGTTGTGCACATTCTCAAGCTCTTCAAATACTGATGAATGCTTGAATGTAGTTCAAGCTTGAACTTATTGTACAAATTATTGGATGAAATAGATTGTGAGTGAATTATGGTGATTTTTTTAAAAGATAGAGAAATTTTCATATAACAATTATAATTAATTTTGGAGAAATTTATTGGTTAAAATTATTTGTGACAGTAATTTTAAAATATTTGAAGGAATAATGCAAGAATTTAATGCTCTTAATCAATTTAGAATATTATTGACCAACTTATTGGTCTTTACCTGGCTGTTATCGTCATTAACAGTGGTTTCCTTTTTCACATTAGCATCAGCCCTGATGTAAAATTTAGATACAAATCTCTATTAGCAGGTGACTGTAAATATTTAGACAACCTCTGAAGATTCCTTTGTGATTAAAATATGCTTTACTTTTAGCCTTCTTTGCTCTTACTACATCCTCTTTCCTCTCTTTCTTTCGTTTACGTCTCTTCTACCCTGTTCTTTCTACATCTGGCGTAGAATCTATTTTTTAACTGTTTCTTTGTCCCTTTCTTTCTTAGATTCGTAACAGAAATGGTGTATATTGATAAGAAGAAGTTATAAATAATCACCAAACTTCCAGAACAAAATTACTGGTTATGCAAAATAACCATATTCACAAAACAAACATAATCATCTGTTGCATAATGAGATAAGCTAAACTTTAGAAATAATTACGAATAAAACTTACTTTTAATGGGTTAAGATTCTTTTACCAAAAAAGTCTCTGGACTATGGTTCTTTCATCAAAATCACTCAAACTTCGGTACGGATAGGAAACTCAAAGTACGGATAGGGGCAATAAGAGTAGGGGGTGATTTTGTTCCCAACAACACAGTCAACAATTGGCAGCTATGAAGGTCTATCAGCAGTTCTTGTATCTCAAAATTTCATTTTTGGACTAAGGTTGTTTTTAAAACAATACCTTCATTTGAAATACTCTTAAATCAACCCGCGCGAGAAATTCCAAAACAAATACATATCTTTAATTTTTCGAAAATTTTAAAGTATACATGAAAATGTTTTTCTGCCATTAAATTAAATGTATTCTTACAAAATTTTGGAGAAAATATTTGGCTGGGCTGGAATTCAAGCGCTTCGATTTACTAAGAAAGAATGTTAACCAAGTACAATGCGGTTTATTTGGGTTCGCGGTACTAAAATGATTGCTGTTGGGGAGACTCTACCATCAGCCGCAAAAATGTACGGATATAACTCAAAAGTAAGCGAAAACTACTTATTTATTTCAAAAATTGTACAAGAAATTATTTTAAAACCTAATATTGAGGAATATATTGTATTAAGAAATAAATCTCTAAATTAAATAATGTAGTTGTTGTAGGGCGAAAACTTTTGAACTTTTACAACATTTGAAATTCCAGATGTTTCTACAGATTTTTTCAGATGTTTCTAGATGTTTTAGAGAAAAAATAACGAAACAATTTTGTGGTATTATGTAAAACATTGCTATTAATTCATAGTTTAATAAAAGTAATTATTCTTTTAATTATGCAAACAGTTATTAACTTTAATCGTAAAGTGTGTTTTATTTACGTTTCTCCATTTGAATTCTCATACCACTTTTATATTTCCTCCAGGAGAAAAACATGGAGCGTGGTTTGTCCGGTTGAACGCAGAGGAAAGCGATCGAGAAAAGGAGCGTGCAGTTTGTTTTCGATGAGACGAGTGCTACAGAAGGTCGTGGAAATAACTTGGAGAAACTCCTTTTGGGACCGTGCATCACAGAACAACACTGTGCTCCGGGCGACGGTAACCAGTGCTAGTCGTGGAAAGAAAGAAGACACAATCGGACTGAAAAGTCGTCCAAAGGAGTTACCTGAGATGGAAGGATGCCTAGACTTCACGCCGCCTCAAGTGCACCTCCAAAGCAGTTGCTTATCTGCCCTTGTAAGTGAAAAAATATACAATTGTGTTTTCATGTTATTGCGTTAAATATTGTTCGAATGTTTAAGTCTGTTAACATTGCTGGAATTTGACAGTATCGACATTGTTTTGTTTCACACTAAAATCTTCATGAAAATGCTGTAAAAATAAATTGTGAGCTCAAACTTATAATACAATAACCAGTGCCGCAGAGAGATTGAATTTTTTTAAAAAAAAATTACAAAGGATATTTGCATGATTGGAGAAATTTAAGTTTTTTTTATTCTATAATGTTTACGTGAAAGTATAAACAATTGTTTTATGAGTAAACATACTCGTATTATATTTCAGAGGTAATCGTATTTAAGATTTTTATCTCCAGTTTATTTGTGATTTTATTTCTAGTTTTAATTAAGATTTTTAAGTGAAGAAAAAATTCAACTTAACCACAATAATTTACACCCTTATTACGTAAAAGAAGTCGTAGAAATGTACACTATTATTGCACGTTTATATTTATTTTTTTAACAATGCAAGAGTTGCTAGATGTAAATACATCCAGAACACCGGCGAACTTCTTGTTTTTTTTTCATTTTCTTCTTTCTACTCCCAGCATATTCAGTTATTTATATGAATATTCCTTGCACTGTAAGAAAGTAGAAGGTACGCGTCTTAAATATGGTTATGTAGGAGCACTGCATGGTCGTATTACTGAGTATTCAATTAGAGGTTACGAACAAGAAAAAATTAATGTGTGAAATTGCTTTGAACTTTGTTATTGAAGAACGGTAAAGTGTTGATTTTACAATAATTTCGTTAGTATTGAACCCTTTCGTTAGTATTGAATCATTTCTAGTAACCAAATATTGCTTAAAAATTTGGGTGTCGTAGCATTTCCATGTTGTGTATTCAGAACCGAGATTTTCGGTTTCTTCAAAACTTTTTCCGCAATAATCATAATTTGCTCAATAATATTTCCAAAGGAAGTTTTACTACTGATAAAGTGTAGTGCAGTGTATAAAGTCTGTCTACAGAATATTTATTGACATGCGTACTCTTGATATTCAATCAAATATTTTATGAAATATTTGCGGTTTATTTCTGAAATATGAATTCTCCTGGCGAACTGAATCCGTAGAGTAATATTTCTATATCCTTTATTTACTTGCAGTTTGTCACACATTAAATATAACAATAGGATTTATTGTGCTTTGTTCTTATCTCATGAAAGTTCAGTGTCATTTTCGAGACAACGAACATTCAGCAGAATTGCTTCCACTAACACTGATTGTAACGCGGGTGATTACTATGGCTGCAACCCGCATCGCACGCGGAGCTGCTTTAGAAACTACCATCAACGTTCAACAAAATTTACGATCGAACACACACGAAACTCCATTTCAGTATTCTCATTACGTCTCACCTATGTTAATGGAAAGTGGGGCACTATGTTAATGGAAAACGAAGAAATGACAACATACAAGAAGCATTCTTGCTTTCTTACAGATCAGTTCACGTAACAGCACCCTTCATTGCTACCAGCGTGTATCCAATTACTGAGAACTATCCATTGTGCGGCCTTTATCTTCGCGTTTGCTGCTGATGCCGCATTTTCCGCTTGGTAGGAGATGCGCTGAGCCCAGCCTGCGCCTTCGCCGCCGTAGGCAGCCACGTGTTCGCATGATCTCTACCCTCGTGTGTGGTCTCCGCGAAACAGCTCCGCGCTACCTTCAGAACACGCGTACTCAAGATTGTGGCTATTTCACATAAGAACACCGAAAAGTAGACTGATTGAACTTCCTAAAATCTATTCCCGAATGAATGACGTTGAGGGCGACAAATGGCTGAATCGAACTAAATCAATTTGAAGAAAAGGATTTAATTGATATGCTTCGCTAAAAAGCCTGTAAGAAATATTTATCACACCAAGAACACTCGTAAAAAGAAATTATAAAATCTACAACAGTTTTACATTTTAGTGTCGACATGTCTCATAATCAGCAAAGTATAATTTCCTTTGTCAGTGAACGTTTATGTTACAATACATTTCGTAAACCATTAAATAACTAAAATCATTATTCCTTTAATTCTCAATCAGATTAAAACTTGTGTCATTTGATCATTATACGTTGTCATGACAAGCTCATTCATCATAACTCTTTAACATAAATGAGAGCAAAGCTTGAAATAGAAATGACTTCTTCGGTCTATACTGATTTCGGCAGGGACTATCATATCTGAGAGTTGCAATTTCCCTACTCAGGAGACTTAAATAGAAACTAGTAATGCTACACAATGATACAGACTCTCCCGAATTAGTTTTCTATATCCTTTGATCTTAGCTAGCTATTCGGACTTGCCAGATGCCATTTATCACCTCCCAAAGTAAATTTTTTGACATTTTCTTAATATTTCAGTTTCCCACTTGTAGATCGGAAAATTTATTTTAAGATTATTAAAGAACAGTAAAATCTCGTCCTAAATAGCAATTTTCTTTGAAAACTTTGGAGCCGTTTTTAAAAAATTGGCGGTTAACCGATACTGAAAATTCGAAATTTGAAGCTCTTTTTCACAGAAAATGTATGAGTTTTCGAAAAAGTTCATTTGAAATCATTTTAAGTACTTTAACTAGCAAATACAATAGTGTTTAAAAATTACTGAAAATGTGCGTATTAATGGCGTGAGATATCCTTAAAAAAATTTGCATTTCTATAATTTTTAAAAAACAAAAAAGTACACCAAATAGAACTTTACGTCATACTAACGAGTACAAATAGTACTATCCATTTGAAATGTTTGGAGAAACCATTTGGAGTCGTTTTTGAGAAAATAGTGTTTGAGCGTTTCTGAAAATGAGGAATTTTGAACTGGTTTCCACAGAAAACCGTTGTTTTCAAGAACCTTTATATGACATT